CTCTGCGTTTGCTGCAGTGACAGCAAGCAGCCATCTGCTTGGAGATCTTCAGCAGGTGTGTAGGCTGCTGGACCCAGGGACCCTCACGGGGCTCCTCGGGATGGGTCTACTCAACGCCAAGGAGAATTCCTTTCCTGCAGGATTTCCGCTGGGCGTTTCTCAGCCTTGGAAAGGCTGAGTCGCTCTGTAAATAATAACTAATGCTGCTAACCAAAGGCCAGGAGGTAGCTGGATTGCCAGGTACACTGGAAACCCTGTGGCACTTAGGCTAGGACGACGCAACGATGAGGTACGGATGTGGCACGGCCCCAGGAGTCACTTGCAGTGGTTGCACGCAGAGATCCTTCATGGCTACCATGGAGCCTGAGCTGCTACCAGCTACTGTCTAAGTCTGTGTGGACATTTTTGGTGCTCTCTACCCCGGGGTTAGGCGCTTCACAAGGGAGGGAAAGTCAATGCAAATGGGCGCACACCTGGCTGCCGTCAGTGTTGCTCAATGCCTCGCCTCCGTTCCTAGAGGGCTATGCTTAATTTTATTCTCAGGCAAGGTTACTATAATTGGGTCCATAAAAATCACGCTGCAAGGCAGTCCCACCAGCTCACTAATCAAGACCCTTCCTCATCCACCCCCACCTCAGGCCCTCTGAGGAGACCTGGAAGTGTAAAACGCTCTGGACCTGCCTGGTGTCAGGTTCTTTCTGGCTGGGTGAGGGACAGGTTTCCCTGCACCGATGGTTCCCCGTGGTGACTGGCCACACTGCAGTGTTACTACACGCGTGGAGCTTGATCTCGGAGGAAAATCCACCATTTACCTCCGGTGCGGCATTTCTGATGCAAAAATACACATAACCTTTCTCTTTAACAGCAGACTGCAACAAATGAATGCTGCAAATGAATAGTAAAGAGATTGCCTGTGAGAAAAAAGAGTTCTGTAAACACATATAGTACCATGTTTAAGAAAAAGGATGCGGCATTTATAGGAGACCATCCAGTGATATAGTCGCCTGGATAGCTAAAAAGAACGGAACAAAAATTAAGTTTTGGAAGGGCTGTAGACTCTTCAGTTTCAGGGCATAAGCCAGGTCTGAATTAACGGGGGCTGAGAGGAATCTTTATCTTTGGGGCAAGTTATTCTACTGCTGCCTCCCACAGAACGTGGTGCCTTCCCAGAAAGCACTTCTTGTTGGTCAACGTGAGAAAGCAGATGCCGGGCAAAACAGATCATAGCCTGATCCCATCTGCCACATCCATCATTGCTACCTTCTTCTGTCATGTGGGTGCAGGGTAGTGACCTGCTCCATTAAATCTAATCTTGTCGAGAGCTCTATTAGTGTAACTTTTTGCAGCTGTATTTGCATCAATGTTTTTCTCAGGGTTGGAAGGAGGGGAAGCTGAGCAAGAAATACTGCAAACAGCAGAATGCACAGAGAATAGCCCATAAGTATATATTATGGTCTGTACAATTATCTCTGAATGCATCAGTGCTGGTGTGCTTGCATGTGTGTGCGTGTGTATTTATATAAAAATATTATCTGATGGCTATGTGCTTAAATGGATTTGTTTTTTAATCTGTGGCACATGCATAGAAAATGTGTGTATGTATTTGCATGTAAAATAACCAAATATGAAGGAAAAGTGTCAACATATTCAGCCTGTGCACTGTGTTAATTCCATATATATTTTTAAAAGCATTGCTGCTAGTGGAAATCTGTCCAGGCAGTTCTGACACAGGAAGGGAAACCTAAAGGCATGCAGAAAATCAGGGAAGATTATTGTCCTTACTATCTGTGAAAAGCACCAGAGACCTGAAAGTCTCTCCAAAACATGCTCCCTTCAGTTAAAATCCTCCCCCCTTTTTTCTTTAATGCATTAAGCATTAAAAAAAAAATTAAATATGCGGGTTTTTTTCAGCAACTAAAAGTTTACCTCAGGGTCATTCGCAAATTTTAGGTGCTATGTTCTTTGTCTGTCACTTTTGACAATTCCAGTAGTGCAAGCCTGACTGTGATTCCTAAGAGGAAGAGGAAGACGAAGGGAAAAAAAACGGCTCTGTTTATGCTGCTATTAGATTGCAGGCTAAATGATCTCATCTAATTTAAAGTTACTTCAAATGAACTATCTCCAAGAATATAATTTTAATATTTCCATATCTTCCTCTTCTTATCTTTCTGTACTACCATGATGTCATTCAGGAATAATAATTACGCTATTAGTTTTGGTGTCTAAACAATGCGGCAAGGAGAAATGGATTTCAGTGACTGCCCTGGAAAATGCTGCTGTTTAAAAAAAAAAAAGAGGGGGGAACAAAGTTCTTAAAAAGACCTCCCTCCTCGGGGGACGCGCAAGTGCAACAGGTGCCCTGCCAAGGAAACGGTAAGTTAGAAATGAAAGCGTCCAGCGAGGCAGACGTTAGCATTTCGAAGGAAATCTTTCTCCCTTTTGCTCTCCCTCTTCTTTAACGGGGACATGTCTACGATGTAAATTAACCAAATATAGCCCGAAATGCCCCAAGCCCCCGATCGGAGCGTGTGTAATGTACCAAAGGTATCAGCCAATGAAAGCAAGGCTGGCTATTTTTTTTTTGTCATTAATATTGCAAAGCAACATTAACTGATTTGAAAGAGTTTCCTCGAGCAGGCAGAGCCTGCGAGCCATCACTCACTTCCAAACGATTTGTCTTGCTATCTGGATTTTTGAAAACGATGCCAGGTTTCCCTTGTTTAATCTCCGTGAGGAATGACAAATGATATATTTTTTTTTGGAAGAATCTGAGAATAGACAATGAAAACAAAGGGAGTTTTGTCATTTAAACGGCGGAGGGTAAAACACGATATACTGGGGCGAGGAGCGCGGGAGGGAGCGGGGCCCGCGCGGAGTTTAAGCGCGTAAACGCGCGGTTTAAACGCG